CATATCAAATGCTGAATCATCGTAAAATTACAATTTCAGTTTTATATATGTGTATATATAACACATACATATATATATAATGGATGAAATAATTTTCATGATATGCACTGACAGGCGGAATATTACAATGATGCTTTTGTCAGTTGATTACTTTTTGAATAATTTTATTTCACAATTCTCGCCAACTCGTTTCATTTAATGATAAAATTTTCCAACAGTGTCCGTGTAAATTTGTTGTCTTGTAATTTCATGCTGCGGAAATTGCGTCGTTTTTGCTAGAAAGTTACGCAATATTCGCTGAATGAAAACAGATCGATGACATGTCCGATATTGTATTTTTCCTCTCCTTTTTTATTCTTCCTATTTTTTTGTAAATTTTTCAGCTCAATGCAGTGTTCAAAAATGGATTTTATTATTTCGGTGAATAGTCCGTCCCTCGTGATGAAGAATGTGTGTATAAATCTTTTTGTATGAATGGAATGTCTGTGTTCACGTATTTTGATTTGAGGCAGAGAGTAAACATATAGACTATTTTTTGGAGCTTTCGTACAAAATTAATAGGGTAACGAGAAGTTGCACTTGTGGGCAGTTCAAATTTAGGGTGTTGGTCTGCAAATGATCTGTCGATTATCATTATATTGTTCGTCATCAAAGAGAGAAATTTTGATAGTTTGTTAACGTGTTATAGGGAGCTTCATTGTCACGTTTCGCGAATGGATAATTGAATAGTATGCATAGAATAAATTATCTTGTGATTATTCCGTTCACTGATAACGATTAATTTAACGAATTTGACTTGCAGATTTTTGTTGAAGCTGATTTAATTATCTTTAAATGTGTGGTTTATATGTGAGCTTCATTCGGATATGTTGCGAGCAGTGTCGCAAAAATGTTAAGATTCGCGCAGCAATATTGTGCCGCTTCTCGCAAGTACCGAATGATTACAATAAATTCGGCGAAATTTAATTTTATATATATATATTTATTATATAGCTTTAACAAAAATTTTGATGAAAAATCGTAAAAAATAATCGTTGGATGATAGAACGATACAGATGTAATTTTTGTGTGTGATTGAGAGGACAATTTGAATTCTCGAGGAAAATGATTTTTATGTACGTTCATTTTCATTGAAAATTTAAATAATTGTCCTTACGAGCTGCTTAGAATTTTTGTATTGATTTGCAATCTCGTTGCGGGTCTCGCAGGGGTTTCAAGTCTTCTGAATTTCTAGCTTCACAGAAAATTACGTATATAATTACAATGGTTTTATTTGAAATTATGAACATTGCAGAATGGAAATTTTTTTATTGCATACTATTCAAAATTAATTGATATCGTAATTATGAGATTAACAATAGAACATACAATTCATACAGGATCGTAGGATTAAATTTAACATATCGTTCCCATTCTATGAAAAAGGTTGCTACTTTTACTCGAAATAGTTCATAAACGTGAGAGAGTATTATTTATCAACTTTCGCGTCTTGTTACTAATATTTGCACTGAAATTGCCTTATAAATTTCTGTCTTCATAAAATACTTTTAAAAATCTCGAATAATCGTAATGCTTGTAATTGACTTGACTATTATCATTTTGGTGCAATTATTGCTTTTCTGTTAATCATTGCTGCGCAGCGATCATTACTATAACTGCAATACATTGCACGAGTGGTAAGTAATCTTTACAAGAAGAAAGACTTACGATGTTCACTCGAATAACGAAAACAGGTATATGTTTGGAAAAAAACTCATGTTTATGTATCTCATCTACAACTTGAAAGAAGTACTTTTCAATCTTGACTCATTTTCCTTAATGCAATCTCTCAATTTTCGCGACAATTAAGACTCGACATGACGGACAAAACAGATCGCAACTGATTTAGATTCAATCATTCCTTCGCATTCCACGTAAAGGAAGATTCCAACGAATGGAGACGCGTTGTTTGTATGCTCGCGTGATAGTTGTGGAGGGCCCCACGGTGTTTCAGAGTCTTTTCTTGGGTATCGTTGCTCACGCTGTGACCGACGTTATTCGGTCCTGTATTCCCTGGAAAGGCATCAGCGCTACGAGTGCGGAGTGGAGAAGCAATTTTCTTGCGGAACCTGTCGGCGACGTTTCACCAGAGTGGACATCATGCGATCACATCAGAAGAGGACGGGTCATCGTTTGACACCTTACACCAGACTAGTCAAGGTGTCGCCTTTGGACCGTCACGTTTTTGAATCAGAAGTTTTCCCGGGGGAATACGGGAATAAGAGTCATCGACAACATCAACAATAACAGCGTCAATATAACAGGAGGCCAGAGGGAGGAGGCATCAATAATTCTAGCATGTCGATTTGTCGTAGTTGAGTCTCTTTTCTCTCTCGTGTGATTTCTATTTCTCTTTCGAACTTGTTCACGAAAACACAAGTTACATCGCGATGCCAAGTAAAGAATTTCTTTAATCTTGCCCTTCGCGCGTAACTAAGTAAATTAAAAATATCTATATTTAGAAAATATTTTTCTCGCAATGTTTTCTTCGAGCAATGTACCGTCGTTATCTGCTTTCCATGGGCGTAGATGCAACGTTGCATAGCTCGACAGAAATTGAGATGAGTTTATCGAATTTTACATTGATCTCCAAGTGTTACAGTTCTCATCTTATTGTTTTATTTTTAATTTTTATTTTGGTTAACATTTTTTAATTATTTTTGACTAAATCACTTGGAGTTCAATTTGATTTTTCGGTTGTCACATTGCGTTTTCAAGAAATTTCTTCGTAGAGCAGTACATTAATTCAAAATTATATTTGATATTTTATTTGATATTATAATTATTGGCTTGGCTCGTGATGTGTAAAGTACTATTATGTCTGATAGAATATTTTTTTAAAATTAAACTCGGAGGTGTATTTAGTTTTATTTTATTCAAATGGATTGAATTTTGTCAAATTTAAAAAACTAATCTCGAATACTCAATTACAATTTTTCAAAACTGCTTTTTCAATGCAACTAGGAAAGCGAATTTTGAAATTTTGTTTGAAAGTATATGTTATATTTGAAAAAAATGTTACAAAGATTATAATACATAGTTATTGCGTAATGATATTCTGTAAATATATCCAAATTAAGAATTGTTAGAAATTATTTCGGTGAGAGAATCATTCTCGGGAATATAATCGGCGTTAACACTGTTGTAAATCGGCTCATTAGAAATAACGGCGCTAATCGTCAATTTTTGTTAAAATAAATGGCTAATTTCTATGAAAAATCAACCAGACGTATGTGTTCTAATGATCTTTTTTCTCATTGGTTCTTTAGAAGTACTAGTTACTCAAATAATTCACAAATGCAATCTAATACTCGAGATTTCTCATATTTTTACACAAATAATATTTCATTAAATAATGTTTCATTTTTTGTATTGTGAAATTTTAAAATTTATTATCCAGTTATACACACACATACGGAACAAATTTATGTTTCATCCGGAGATGAGATAATGGTATTTATATGCATTTTGGCGAGTATCTGAAAAACAATTTGATATCCAAATTGCTCGTTACGTTACACAATTCAACTTCACAGTTGACGGGAACTAGATCGATATCCTAATTTTTAGAGTCATGAATGTGATCTGCTTTTTAATATTGAGATGAAAAATAGAAATATAGAATAAAAATAAACTTAATGATAATAAAACTTTGTACAAAAATTTCCATTTGTTAAAAATACTGGCAAATAGTTTTTTTTGTTTGGCATAAAAGAACAAATTGTGACGTGACGGAGCAATTTGAACAACAGTTTCAGAGTGAGTGTCAGAATATATAAAAATATTACAGTCTGTCTCTGATAAAAAATCTTTCGTGTGTATACGTCATTTATATAATTGAATTTGTGAATTATGTAAAGACGAAAGAGCATTTTTTTCTTTTGTCAAATATCGCTATAAGATTACTTAAATTCCTGTTACATAATTACCATTGAGTTAATTTATTTTTAAATAATTCAAAAATATGATCTTCGGTACAAACGACACATTTTGTTTATAGCTGGAATGCGAATGATTGTCGATCAAATCGTCTTCTAAATTTTTTCCGTGATAATAATCGTCATGTTGCTTTCGTTCATTCGTTGATGTCTCTCCTTTTTAGCCTAATATTTTATTAATATAAGTTTATTCGCACTTCACATATAACCTCGATTTATAATCATTTGTTGTGTGGTAAAGTAGAATCAATGTAAACATAAGCTAACGTGCACACGATTTTTGTCATGTCTTTGGAGAGTCTTATATATGCTTTCGCGTGTCTCGCATCGATCTTGCATCCAGCCGTATTTTTCAACATCTACAAATGCGATTTCGACCAGTTGATGGACCTGAAGCTGAAGAACAAATAAAGAATTTCTTTAAAAAAAAAAAATCTTCTAATCTCTTTTCAATTGTGCGAACCCTACACCCAGCTTTTCAGCTCTCGTATATCGTTGCGAATGTAAAATAACTTAATTACTAACTTTTGGTGTGGCATAATCTCAAACCTTTTCGTAATGTCAACTTCAAAGTTTTATGACAAAAAATACAAAAATTGTGTAGGCATTAATCTTTTACAATTTATTTAAATATTCTTAAACATATTTCAATCTAATTCTCCAATTTTTTTTTTAGAAAGTAACTCAAATATCTGGCAATTAAGATCATATTCATCCTTTGAAAAGAAAGTAAGTCATATTTCATTTATACGATACATAAACACTGTTTACATTATTTTTTTAATGAAAAATTCCAAAATTCAAGGCGATATTTATTTTGAATAACGATGCCAGTGCGTTCGAAAAGTTTGGCAAAGGCAGGGAGGAGAGAGAGAGAGACGGGGAGGGGGAGGGGGTGGGGGGAGACGATGTTTCAGAAAAAACGCAAAAGTGAAAATAATTCTCGAAAGGAATCATTGAAATTGAAATGCATCTTATCGCGTCCGCACGCATAATTGACCTCCGGGGTGATACAGTTGGCCGATGATGCTTGCAGCTGCCACGCCGTATTGGTCACAGTCCACTGGGGTGCATCAGCAACCCACGACACATTACTGCAGACTCTCCTGTCCAAACTGCGGTCGCAGCTACAAGTATCGAAGCGGTCTGCGAGGACATATCGCCGACTGTCTCTCGGAAAAAGAGAAATTGGAGGCTGATTTTCGTCAACGACAGGAGCAACGGCGGCAGCGAGAACAGCAGCAGCAGGTGCAGCAGCGACTGGAGCAGTTCACTGAGAAAGATGTCAGAGTACTGTACAAGTTTTGGAAATCGTAGATACTTGTGTAGCACAGAGACGGATGGAAAATCGGTAGTAAAAATTCTTCCATTGCGTCGGAATCACTTGTTCTTGTTTTATTCACCTTTGAATACAGAAGCGGGATCCTACGATCGTTTCTCGTTCTTGGAAGCTCCACTGTCTCGATCCAGGCACTGTCTCTTGCTCTTGCGTTTGACGGTAGGTCTGTTTTCTGTGTCTGAACTAGTACACATTTTTGGAACTTAAATGAGATATATATGTATATATGTTTGATATTTGTCGAAAGTGAAAATTCTAGTGCAGGAACAGAAAACTGACCAAATACGTGGCTTTCACTAGTTCCTGTTCTTTTATGTTTTTCTTTTTATTACAAAAGCGAGAAAGCCGTAAACTAATCAATAGTTCACTTATGTGTGTGTGCGCGCGCGCGCGAGGCGAGTGTATATATATATATATATTGTGTTCTACTTTATATTATTCTCATTCGTTTAAGTACATAATGTTATTACATCGTGCAAAAAATAAAAATGAATAAATAAAATAATAAAGTTTGTATAATCCAGCTCGATATGCGATGCATTTGCATCTTACTAGCGAATACACAATTATAAATCATAACTTAATACTTATATATTAATAAAATGACTTAAAATGATTCTTTAATCACGAGTAGCATCTGGGTACATGCTACTAGCATTGTAAATAACTATATCAGTATCAGATTAACGAAGGAATAAATGAAGCATCAGTGATGATTGTTGGTTGATGTGTATTGCATGCTGAAGTTTTGTCATCTAGTCGAACGTAAGCTTCGTGATTGTCAGCGTGGCGAGTAAATGTCGTATTTAAAGCGGCAAACGAAGGAGCTGTCTCGAGCGGCTCTCATCGGAGGGAAATCATCCACGTTCGAATCATTCACACGTAATTTCAACCAGTATTTACGTTCATTCACCATGGATATGTGTGTTGGGTGAAACTGTACAAGGAGTCATATTTTACGTTGGGTTGAAATTAATTACATCACGGGTGTAAAAATGGATGCACTAATAAAATGCAGTTCATTTTGGTGCAGCATGTAAATAACAGCCCAAAATAATGAAGACTGTGCACAAGGATCTGCCGTAAGGATTGATAATGTATTTTTTTCAAGTAATAGCAATAAATATGTATTGCTATAAAGTCGTTTTTTTTTTTGTCATTGTTATATAGAACGTCACTCCAAAGCTTTCACATATTAATTATTTGCTTTTGCCGTAAAGTTTTTAGTATATCATACATTGTTTTTAATTTATTCCTCAACAATTCAAAAATACAACATGAGAATAAATGAAACCTCATTACATATTTTTAAAATTAAAATTAATTTTATATACTATATATACATTTATTAAATTTTCTATATATTGTACTCGTTACAGTAATTAGATATCGACGAATTAATTAATTCGTGTATTCATTATTGATTTGTTTGTGGACAATGCGACTTCTAATTTTGATTACTGTAATAATAGAATGTTGTATGCGGCGATATTACATTTTTCAGTAATTCAGTACACTTTGAAAAAAAAAAAACTCGAAAATAATTAAATGCGACTAGAACCATTTTCTATTCCTCGACGGGCTTGGGAGCTTTTTGTGCAGTCTTCCTTTGGAGCGAGCTTTATTCAGTATTGTCCACACGCTTGGTTCGAGCTTTTTCTTCAACGGTCGAGAGAGAAAAAAAAGAAAGGGGGGGTCAATGTGTCCAGGTCACACTGTCTCGATCGGAGTAACCCGCGGCTTTGCAGATAAGAGGGGCTCGTTTCGTGCGTCCGGCAGGAACCGGTATGATGTAAAAGGCCTCCCCCTGTATGCTTGCAGCCAGCCCCGCGAAGGAGATCGTCTTGAGTGGCGGCGACGGCGAACTGCCATTTCGGTGTGTAATGTGCGGACGTGGATACAGATCGCGATCGTCTCTCACACGACACTCCAGATACGAGTGCGGCCGCCTCGGATCCCGATATACCTTCACCTGCACTCTCTGCGGCAAATACTTCTGTCGGCCGGATCACCTCAAGCAGCATATCCTCAACATCCACGGGGGTTCCGTTGCTAAATAACCGCGGCTCATCTCCTTCGGCGTATAGAAAAACATTGTCATCGATTCTCCGTTTACCGATGATGAATCGATTAGCAGCCGTCTTTGAGGACGTCGAAATTACTGTGAAAATAATTGCGATTGTCATGAGATCGAGAAGGAATGTTTTTGCATCATATTCTCTTCAAAATAGATTTTATATTTTTCTTAAAAAAGAAATGTAATCTTTATATACAACATATAAGTAATCTTATAAAATTTGAACTTACATTAGTTTATAAACTGTTGGATTACTTTTATGCACTATTGTATTTAGCGTGGTATGTGAATGATGAGCTTCTACTTAGGATAAACATGTTTATTTTGATACTGCAATAATATTTCTTATTAAACGGGGTTTTTTAGACTAGGTTGCAGATAATGTAGAAGTCTCAGAAATATTTTTATCGTTTACCGTGGAGCTTTATTTTAATCGTCGCTTAGATTTGTTTATCCAAAGGAACACCAAAGGGAATTTTATTTTAAATTTGTCAGTAGGGTTAATTGTTGTTTATGGAATATCAATTTTTTTGCTTCTGTTAGAATATCTTTTAGAGAAAATATTTAATAATTGATTAGAATTTTGAAACATAAATTTTCTTATACAATAGTTCTTATTCAGAAATTTTGCTTTTGTTTGTGTTTGAAAAATTTCTCGATTGTATATTCAAGAGTTTGTTAATAGTCTGATCTAACGAGTTTTTAGGTAACAAATATGGTTTATTTTTTAAATAAACCATATTGTTTAATACAAACGAAATAAACCATTTTGTTACAGTACATGTTTAAGAGTTAGATATGTTATTAATAGATTTTTTATTATTATGCGGTTCCAAGAATAGTTTATGTTACATATAAATGCTCAAATAGACATTTTTTAAATAACGAAAGATTGTATTTTTCACTTTAGAAAATTCAAGATGAAATGAAGTGCACATATCATGTACGTGTACTTGCGTGTTTTAGAGGTAAACTGCCAAATAGCTGATCACGAATGCCAAATGACTAATATTCCTATTTTTCTAGTGCAATATATACGTTTAAGTTATTCTATAAAAGTATACGATTATGCAATGATGTATAGAAATGTGTTAATGAATATTGGAAAATGTTGTTTAGGAATGACAAAGTTCTGTGAATAAGAAATTAGTCATATCTGTTTCTTTCTCTTGTTGAATTTTCTAAATACGTCTGAATGTATTTATTTTAGATTTTTGGAAGCAAATTTTGAACTTAAAAATTTTATTTATTAAAATGTGTTCAAATTGATAGAATGTATATTACTAAAATGCAGAAGTTTATCAGTTTTTTCGGATCATGTATATGCAGTCTTTATCGTATATTTTTCTGTATTTTTTCTATATAAATAAATCTTTTTCGTTTTATTACTAACTAAAACAATCACGGTTTTTCAATATATCTTGAATTATATCTTAATAAAACAATTAATTGTGAAAGTTTATGAACTTCTGCATTCTAGAAATTTATTTTATATATACGTCGACAGTTTTCAAAATAATATTCTTATTATACTACGCATATCGAAATCTTTTTGGTTTTCTTCGCGATTAAAGAATTAGATTTAAAAATGTGAAAAGTTATAGGTATTAAAAATTTGTTTAAAAATTTAGTAGATATATTTATTGTGTTGTAGAGCAAATTTTCAAAAATGTTAGTTTTTCACAGAAACAAAATTTCTTTTTACGATTTTATCTTACTGCAGAAGTATCGATTACGTGTAAAGAGAAATATGTTATACAGCGACTCTAGTGTCGTATGTACCATTTGAGGCTATAAAATATGCGCTAATATAATATGTTATTTATGCGAGTTTACGTAAATAGAAGAGGTATGATGGGGTCATTTTTTATTACCCTAAAAGATACGACATGGGTACATTACTGTTATTGTTGGACATTGATTCCACATGTTGTTACTTATCGGACTTTATAAATTTTTATGGTATTTCAATAAAAAAGTAATATTAAATAAATTTTGTATTTCTTAACCACTTCCTATCCATTTTTTTGGTATCACGTTCCTCTCAGTCTAATTATATCTTTTAATTTTTTAAAATTTTCATTTTATATGTACATTTATTTTTTTTATGGCATACAAAACACCATATAATAATGCTGTGATAATTAAAAATTTTTAATATGTAGTGATATTTTATTTTTAAACTTAATTGTAAATTAAAGTATATGTTAAAAATAAATATTTGTAAATATATATTAAACTTAATATTTATTTAAAAGAAATAAAAGTAAAAGCACGTATATAATTAATATACCTAAATGTCTAGTTTTTATGGTTATACATTTCCGCTAATTCAGTCAGTATGATGTTAAACTGAAAATAAATAATTGTCTTTCGGGTAATTTAGAGTATGACATCTGGATGAAGTTTTTTATTTTTAAAATTGTAAAAATAATTATATAGTATATATAGATACAATATTTTATTTCTTAATTAGTAATATAATCCAAATTAATTTTTTTTGCTTGATTGTGCAGGTGGGGGCTGCAATTTAATTATGGGTATATTGTAAAATTTGCTATGCACACATTTAATCAAAATTAAAGTAAAGTTTTTACAATTTTTTAATTTAATACAGTTTTAGTCAAAAAAGAAAATTTAATGAACAAATAAAAATTACAATACAATCGACATAAAACGGAAGTTTCTTTTCATTTTAACAATAAATTAAAATGTATTACATCACATTCGGTCTCTCTTTTTGTACGTAAAAATAATATGTATATAAACGCGTGTGTTATTTCGATAGAATTAGGTAGACGATTAACACTTGGTATCGTAGCGTGGTAATAAGTTTCGTCGTTCGATAAAAGTTTTTTAGGTACATACGGGAGAAAAATCGTTTGAGTAAAGTCTTGTTCGAAAGAAAGAAGCTTTTTTGTTCGTGTTCGTGGAAAATCTGAAAGACGCACAAGTACAATTCCTTGCACATCCTACCTTAGCGCGATTTCCGATTCGTGGGATATCTTGGTCCATAGAACTGAACCGACCCTCGTGAGGACTGACGTCACTTCGTTTTATGTTTCATTACAGTGTCAGATGCGCTGATCAACAACGGTGAGCATCGATGCCGGAAATGCGGCAAATGTTACAAGAATCAGTCCTCCTTGTGCAGGCACATCAGGTATGGCTGCGGACCGACCAAGTTGAAGTGTGTTTGTCCGCACTGCGGAAGACTTTACTCCAGGCCCGATACTCTCACCGAACATGTGATCAGGGTGCACATGTATCCGACTCAATAGTCGTTCCCGATCTCATTTACGATTTGAAGTTATTCATCTATACAATACGACGTTTGTGTAATATTTTTATTTTATAGGCAAAGGTATAGAAAATATCTGTGAAACATTTTAAAGAAATGTAATAATTTTTTAATTTATGTTATTATTTTCACTTATTGTTAAAAACAGAATTATATTGAGTATTTTTATTTTGAGTTATCTTGTATTAACTTGAAGAGCGTTTCTTTTATTAAGCGAATTATAATTTTTAAATATTGTAATATTTAGTTTTATTTTTAGTTTCTACAGTCACTTAATTGAAATTATTGTTAATAAGATCAGAAATATATATTATCTAATGGAAAAAATTGATTATCGTAAAAAGTATTTCGAATTAGTTAAAATGGATTCAATATACATATAATTAGAGCATATTTATTCATTTCAGTTTATTTATATAATCAAGAAGAGGATTTGATCTCCAATATTTCTTACCTTCACTCATCCAGCTATATCTTATACGCACTCTTTTGACGCTTACCTATTTTTTTATTCTTTATGTTTATTTTACCTAATTTTCTTGCCTCTCTCATCTAAAAACTAAAATTTTCTAATCTTCAGCTCTTATCTAATTTACAGTTTTTCGTACAATCTATTTTACTTTTTACTTATATTTTTAATTTTATCGCAAAACTTTTTGAAGATTTTTAATTGTCATATCTTTTTGTTTTTACTCTTTTACCCTTCTTCTCCTTACTTCTTCTTTTCTTTTCATTTCTTTCTATCTTTCCAAAGCTTCTTAGTACCTTTTCTTTTGTTTCATCTAAGTCTTCTCCCCATATAATCTTCTTATAATCCTTTCCAATATCTTCTAACTCATTAAACCTTCATCTCTTCTATTTTATTCTTATATATTCTTTAAAATATACACTTCTCCCTTTCTTTTCCTAATCAATATTTATTTGATTTTTTTAGATCATCACATTTTAATTTAATTAATGCTCTTATCTCATTCTCTCTCCTAAACTCCTCTATATTACTTTCTTTAGATAGTTCGGCTCTCTGTTCTTAACCATCACTTTACAATTCTTGTTAAATTTCACCTTTTCGATTCTTTATCCTTTTTCCATAAAATGGATTTCATATGTAAATAAAAAGAACAGATGTATTTTTGAGAGAATATTAATATTTAATATTAATATTATATTCCACATATTGTATACTTCGACATTTAATAAATTAATGATATGTATCATGCATAGGCAACACATAACACAAATTAATTTTTGTACATTACTATACTTAGCGTTTCTGATATAAAAGAGAGAGAGAGATTGGGTGCTTTCCAATTGCTTAACACATCTTAACACAAATATAAAAAGGCAAATTAATTCACATATTTGTCAGTATTGATAAATAATTTAACACTTTTAATATTTTTTATATTGGCGCAATAATCTCATAACCTTAAAAGAATTAAAATATTTATTAATATTTAAAATGTGTAAACCGATTTGTACTCAATCGCATCAATTATCGTAATTGTCGTTACAACACATTCGTACTCACAATCAGCCTAAGGACTACTAGTCGGTTATGTAATGTATGAACGATTACGGCAATTGGTACAATTGAGTGCAAATTTGGTTTATATATTTTTATAATAAATAATTTGAATTACTTTAAGGGGGGGAGAGTTATAAGGCTATTGTGACGACAAAGAATATGTATTTAAAAGGATTACATTATTTATTAACACTGAAAGATATGTGAATTAATTTACTACATTTGGTGATAAGCAGTTGGAAAAGCACCCATTGAATGCTCTTGTCCGCGATTGTAAAGCGAATAGGCATTATTAATTGGCATAATTGTTTTACAAAGAATAATTTCCATAACTTCTCTTAAATTTAGTTAAAATTTAATGTTTCAATTAAAATCCTATTTTTTAAATTTTATACATAAATCTTCAGATCTCTCGTTTATTAGAAGATTCGTCTTTTAAAATTTTTAAAACTAAATAGAAAGATTGCGAATATAAAGCTATATAAATAATAATGATACATTTTTTCATGTTAAAATGATATCAATGAAATATTTAAAAAAAATTTGTACATATATTTATTAATTCCTCGCTGAAGATTATGTAACTCAACATTTGAAGATCCTATTTGACAAATTGAATATCACACAAATCATCCGTCATTTATTTTATTCCATTTAAACATTATCATTATACTCTTTATCTGATGCTCTCTATGTTCTGAAATAATAATCTAGCTAGGGCATATAGTTGTAGAGCGTAGTACATCCAACCGCTGGAAGATCGCGTAAAAGGATCAGAAAAAGAGACTGAGACCTTGCATGTTCAGGTACTCACAAAGATGAATCGCGAGACATACATTATCCATAAGAGATCGTAAAATTTACACATTTGTTTCGTTTCGAACATGCTTGCAGCATACTGGACCGAATACTCGACGGTGCATGAGACTCTGGCCTTACAGTCGCTCGACTGGAAGAAGATATCCGAACAGCAGCATCGTCAACAGCAGCAGCAGCAGCAGCAACAATTTTCGCAGCGGCAGCAGTCGTTTCCACAGCAACCATTGCAGGGCCATGTTTGCAAAGATTGCGGCAAGATCTACAAACAGAGGAATGCTCTGTGGCGACACTTCAAATACGAGTGCGGCAAAAGTCCCAGATTCCAGTGCCCGTATTGTCGCTACCGGACGAAACAACGATCTAACATGTCTTCACATATTAAGCACAAACACGTGGGCTTCAAGATTTACGTAATCGATCTTGAAGCCGGGAAATGATTGCCTTAATTAAGTTTTTTAATGGTCAAAGTCGAAAATATTTCTATGTGTCTTGCATTTTAGCAGAATATAAAAAAATATTATTTAACAACGATTTTTAAGCCATCATATATATTTACGCAATGATTTTATATCGATTAATAAATCATTAAAAATTAATTAAAAAAGTTCTTGTAGCTCACGTCTTGTAGAAGAAGTTGTGGTAACTATCTACAATAATGGACCACCATCCAATGATCTTGACCTTCACATATATGGTCAAAGTCACGACCCTGAGTGATCTTCAGAAAGTTCAGAATGATCTTCTTTTAGCCGGCGGCCATTAAAAAGTTATTAACAAAAAAAGTTCTGCTTAAATAAACGTTCTGCTTTAATATACACTTAAACAAACGTTTGAAAAGTATGTGTGTAGAGGAGGCAATAGTGGCCCCCCCCCCCC